TCCTGGACAAATATGTTTTGATATTGATGAAGTGTAGTACCAATATCCCAACTATTGTTGAAACGTATATTAACTAATTTTGAAAAGCATGCAAAAGCATTTCTCCCTACAGACTAGAGAAATGAAGAGCTGAACAAGTAAAATGTTAACCAAAATCAAGTTTTCTCTCTGCCTTTCTATTTCCCCTCTCTGAATAGCAGAGCGTATATTATTTTTTAGAATGATGAAGCAGTATATCTTTACACTTAAACTAAAAAAAAAAAACATTTTCAGTTCACCAGTGATTGTCTCAACATCTTTTTGAGTAAAAATAAAAGAATATAAAAAGTAAAGATAATTTTATTGCAATGCCTGTTAACTTTAGCAAGCAATTTTTGTTGGAGCACAGTAAAATGATACTGAGTCTAATGGCAGAATTCATTTTTACTATTTTAGTCCTGCCCATGATAGAGACAATTGAGAACATTTTTGAAGGTTTTGGGCAATACACTTTGAGATATCTTTAGTATTTAGTATAATGAAGTTCAGTTGCATGACTCTCTATTAACAGTTATCTTTATGCCCAGGTATGTGTCCTCATAAAAATTTAGGGAGAATTCCCAGAGTGCTGACTTTATCAGCATATAAAGTTATTGGTGTGTGAAGCTCCAGAGAATCCCAATTCATTTAATAAAAGAACACAAACTCATGTTTAATAATCTCATTATAACAGCACATCCTTACAATGCTATATGCAGGAAACTAAAGGACATGCCTACAATATAGATACAAGCTATAATGAAAAGTTGTACAAGCGGCACCTGGGTGGCTCAGTCGGTTGAGCGTCCGACTTCGGTTCAGGTCATGATCTCACAGTTTGTGGGTTTGAGCCCCTCATCAGGCTCTGTGCTGACAGCTCAGAGCCTGGAGCCTGCTTCAGATTGTGTCTCCCTCTCTCTCTGCCCCTCCCCTGATCACACTGTCTCTGTCTCTCAAAAATAAATAAATTGGAAAAAATAAGGTCTGTAAAATAAGGAGTCTCCATAGTAGCATTTTATTATGCATCCTTTTCTTGTACTAAAACTCGTTATCATAGACCTTTTCAAATTAAAGTGATCAAGAATTATTGAAGAACAGTAACTATGTTACATTGAATGCATCTTCCCAATTATTCATTTCCAGGAAACACAGTAAAATTTAATGTGACTACCATCAATATCATACTGTAACTTGATTCTTCCAATAATGTTGTCACTAACAGCCAACTTTGATGAAATAGTGTCAAGCAAAAAGACTACCTGCCCCTGAAGTGTAAAAGACTCTTTAGCCCTGAGCTGAAGAAGTTGCCTCTGATGATCTTGACACATCTGTTTGATAAATGAAACATTATATTAGGCTTATGTTCCTATAGAATAATCCACACTGTCAGTATAGATAAGAATTGATTTGGTGAGACTGGGTCCATATACAAAGATTATAAAAATTATTTTATAATCTACACATAATTGTTATGAATCTAGGGTGTCAAAATAGATGACTGGGATTGGCAACATTAGGGCATCTATACATAAAATCAATGCACTTTTCTAATGGAGCATTTATTTTCCAGGTATGTGATATCCACTCACATTTGTATAGTGGCTCATACATTTCAAAGACCTTGCAAGATAGTTTATCTTCACAAAAATTCTTTGAGCTTGATAAGTCAGAACAATTGCCCCATTTTTCAAATGATAAGAGTCAGAGAAGTGAAACACTTTTCCTGGAATCTGAATTTCCACTTTCTGATCCATTCCCCTGACCTCACATCAAAGGCCCACATCTATGGTAATATGGCTATTTGCAAAATGGTAAACTTGATTAGTTTGTTGGGAACAAAACTATTGTAATAGTTTTTATTCCATGTAGTGTTTCTAATATAAAAACTGATTACTTCTGTATCAGAAACTGGCTATGAACTCCACCACACACACACACACACACACACACACACTCTCTCTCTCTCTCTCTCTCTTTCTCTCTCTCTCTCTCTCTGATTTTACTAAAAATTAAGCACACTAATCTAGGTATACTGGCCTAAATCAGAATAAGAACTTCCTTAACAACGTGATGTAATTCTGAGTTTCTTTATTGCTATTCCATTGAGTATATTGTCATAGCAATCACCCTAGCAAATTGAAATTGTACCTCAGTGCTTCAGACTTAGTGTCTAAAAATGATAAAAGCACTGTTTTTGAGAGAAGAGACAAAAGAGGTCAGCTTCCTGAATTTCTTTACTTCTGACACTAGCCTGATTCTGATTTTTCTATTTTAAGCTAAGCTCTAGCGAAGCCCAAGCCTGCACTCGTAGGTAAGCTTTGTGCATATCGCAATAGTATGAGTTACTGCTGACACAGCCGTCACTCTTTCTCTTTCTAGTATTTCTTCCAATCTTGCTGATGCCATTATGAAAAATAGTGCTGGCACAGCCTTAAAGTCACTTAATATCCTCTTATCTATGGGGCTAATTTATTCTTAAAATGTTGTTTTCAAAGAGGATATTAATGATATATGGAGGAGAAATTTATTTGTAGTTTCTTCTCACAGGCTTTTTGAATTTGGTATACTGAGGTACTCTACAAACCAAATGAAGCTACTAAATAGCAAAAACAACTAAAGATCATAAAGTATGTATAATCTTTACAATCTGATCATAGAGAGACATCATAATAAGAGCTAATCCTCCTCACTTTTGTCCAGTTAATTGTAATGGAGTTTAGTCTTTCCTTTCTTAGTTTAATAAGGTGAGCCTTTTATATCACTGTACCTATGTCATCATTAATACCTGTCTCTTTTTTTTAATGTTTTTAAAATCTTTTTAATGTTTATTTATTTTTGGGGAGAGGCAGAGAGACAGAGCATGAGCAGGAGAGGGGCAGTGAGAGAGAGAGACACAGAATCTGAAACTGACTCCTGGCTCTGAGCTGTCAACACACAGCTTAATGCAGAGCTTGAACTCAGGAGCTATGAGATTATGGCCTTAATCAAAGTCAGATGCTTAACTGACCAAGCCACCCAGGTGCCCCTAATTCCTATCTTTTAATTATAAAATACAGACTTATAAGAAATAAAATCTTGTATCTTACCAACCCAAAGTTTTTATACTTCTGGTTCATCGTCTGTATTCTATTAAGAACAAAGTCCCAGATGGGTTATTTATACTTTATATTGATTTTCAATACCTCTTATAAATATGTTCTCCAGAAGGCCTACATTTATAACTTAACTGATAAAAATGATGAGAGAATACAAAAAAAAAAATTACTCAAAGACAAAATCCAGTATAAAGACATTGAAACTTGGGATATATTGCCATGCTAAAGCCATCAAAAGCTGTCAGGTTTCAGCCCATGTATAATTCTGTTGATTACTTTTTAATCCAAGATGCATTTTTCATAGTGATGAATAGAAGAGATTTTATGATAGATGGCTGAATGAATTTAAAAAAAAGAAAGCTTACCTATATGAGTAGCATGTCACTTGAAATGAGGTCATTTTTAAAATATTGAAACATAATGAAATTATAAATCAGTAACGATCTACAGCATAATAAAAATTAAATGAAAATTTTAAACAAAGTTGGTTGAAAGTCAACTAAGAATCAAGATATTTTGGGGCTATTTGGGGAATATTTTCAAAATCCTTAAACATTTCAATTTCAGAATTTCAGAGTTGTTAAAGGAATAAATAATTATTTTTCTTCAAAGTCCTTTAAAGGCATTTTCAACTTTTTCAATGCCATGATAAAATAGATCAAGTAAGATTTTTAAAATGTATCGTATATGCATACCTACCTAGATATAGAAAGCTAAGTAAAATTATCTCGTTATTTAATAACGAACCATGTTGCTTCTATAAAATAAGGACAAAACTGTGTGAACATAATTAAAACATATCAATATGGTATTACTATTGTCACATTCCCTCTGTGAGACATGTAAGTGATTTTTTAATGCGTCAAAAGTCGGTTGAATTTATGATAGAGAAGTTACGTAATGACTCATACACATCTTCCTATTTCATCATGGTTTAAATACTCCTCAAGTCATATTTATAATTATGGCAGATAGCTAAATAATCACTTATTATTAATAATTTAAATGTCAAAAGAGAGAAGTGTCAAATAAATATATGTTATCACCTATGCTATATCACAGGTGAAATATCAGCTTCTGGAAATTGATGAATGTTAGTCCTTTGTAACTTTTACACAGTATCACTAAAACAAAATTTAAAATTCAAGTTCTAAAACAACATATACCCTGGGTTTCATTTAATAATAATATAGTCACTTACTGATTAATAAAAACATACACAAAATGAAAATCTTATATTAAAAGATATAGAAAAATCACACCTTCCCTCTACTTTTTCTTTTAGGATGTTCTAGAAACATTACAATAGAAGGACAACAAATCCTACTTCAGGTTCAGACCTATGGGTATATTCTTAAAGTACAGGTTTACTGTGCATAACTCTTCATAAGGTTAATGACATCTTAGTAAGTTACTTAAAGTACATCTACAACCATACTGTATTTTATAAATAAGCAAATAAATAAACAAATATTCTTGCTAAGGTTTGTCACAATGAAGAAATAATAAGGTCTCATTCTTCTATATATTGAAGTTTTATATATACTTAAAATATTACATGTTAATTTCTATCACTTTGATTTTAAGGGATGATTTTCCTCTGTTAACAAATACAACAATCTAAAATACATCTATTAAGAAAAGCTGTACCATTTTAAAATCAATTTATAATCAGTCAGACTCTATTCAGTTCTAATAAGTAAAATAGAACTCTTTTCGAGTACTTCAATTTTAATTTTAATTTTAGTTTTGGTCACTTTTTCTTTATTGGACATCTGATTTTTCAGATGGTATTTTCATTCACCTCTAATGATAATATAGGCCCAATGTAACAACAGATCAACCTTTTACTAGGAATTCCAAACAAGTAAAGAAAAATGCACATACCATGTTCCAGCCAGGATAGAGGTAGTCTGTACCAACAAATTCAAAGTAGTGAGCAAAACCTTCTTTCAGCCACACATCTTCCCACCACACAGGAGTCACCAGGTCACCAAACCACTGGAATTGAAAAATGAATGATCATCATAAAAAATCAGATTTATCCCAGAATTATTTTATCTAAAATTAAGTGTATTAAACTACAATAATCATAACTGGAATTCATTCCCCAATTGATTGTGTGATCTTAAAATGTATTTTGGCAAGAGTATCAATTTATTCAACTACTTGGGTGACACTGCTTTTTTTTATAAATTCATTCAGAGAAGAACAAAAATGTAATGATTAAGGAATACAAAAAGAATATTTAAACTGGAGAAGAAAGAACTCAGAAGGAAAAAATTGATGAAGGTTATTTTCAAATATGAAAATATTATAGTATTTAGAATACTACAGTAGAATACTCTTCTACCAGTATGTAGAAGAGAAAAAGACTTGTGGCCCTACAAGGACAAATTAGGACTAATGGACAGAAATCAGGGTTGGTAGATGTCTGCTGAAAATACAGGAGACCCTCTAACTGAATGAGACGGCAAAAGGTGGAACATACTGCCTTAAGTAGTGAGCGACCCAGCACAGGAGGTATTGAAGCATTGCCTTCCAGTAGCACAGGGAACTCAGAGGAGACACTGGCCGATGGAAGGAGCTAAGGTCTTTCATGATGCTTCACACTTGGCTCTCCACGATCTTATGATATCAAGGGGTTGGACCAAAAAAAAATCTCTAAGAAAATTGTTGTTTTAATTAGGTCATGATGCATTAGTCTGAAATCTTTGCTCAGTTTAGCAAAAAGTTAAAGAAATTCTTTTTTTTTCCTTAAGAAAAAAACCAAAAGCATTACATGCCCAGAGCTATTCTAAAGACTGGATTTGATGATGAAAAGTCAGAAAGTATCCCTTCTCATGCAGCTGGTGCTTCATTATAGAGGCAGGGGGGATGAGGTAAGATACAAAATAAAAAATATATAAGTAAACGAACAACACAATTTCAGATCCTAATAAAGTGTGATAGCAATGGAGAAGAAGCCACTTTAGATTGTAAAAGCAAAAATATTCTCTCCAAGCCAGTGACATTTGAGCTCAGACTGTAATGATATGAATGAGCCAGCCTTGAGAAAACCTTGGTAAGAAGTGTAAGCAGCATTTAGTATGAAGACCCTAAGTGGGAATGAGATATTTAAGAAACAGAAGGAGAAGGCGGGCATTATCAGATCAGGTACAGCTTTAGGAGCTCTGGTAAAGAGCTTCGTGACTGAATGTTTCAATATTATAATACAGTGTCAGTTACTCAAGAGGATCTCTAATTGAAAAACAAATAAGAAATAACATTGGATATGTTGATGATCATAATGTAATTTTTATTCTTGATCAAAATGCGTATTTCTCCTCTAAATTGAAAGCCCGTTTTAAGAACTGTGACAATACATAGGTACGGAGAGAGGGTAATGTAGAAAATAATTTGGTAATGATAGTGGAAATTCTGTGTTTCTCCCAGCTTCTGGTCCATTTCCTCACGGCAAGTAACCTGAGGTGCTACTAAGCTATAATAAGAAAGTAATTCAGAGTATGAAACAAATGAAATCTAATTCTAAGAACAAAGATAACATCATCAATGTGCTCTTATTCCAACAGAACTATATAAGTAATTTTTTCTAGGAATGTGCAAAAAGGAAACCCCTCATGCCTCCAAGAATTATATTTCACTGGAAACCATTCTCTTTAACACAGTTGAGGAAACCTGATTATCGGTGCAATGGATCTGCTTAAGTCTCTGAGGCAAGGAACACACGCCCAACTTGGGCAGCATGACAGGTACAAACATCTTACAGGTTCATTTTCAAAAGGGTGGCATTGAGGTAAATGGTCATATATCATGAAGTCAGTGTTCACATATTAGCATTTAGCAGTTCACCTTCTCCCACTGGCAGCATTTTTCACATAGTTCCTTCTTAAGTTTTCCTCTCTTTTTAAAAATATTTTGGGTTTATAACAAATGGAAGCCATACAGTATCACAATGAGATGTCCAGTGTTTTAACTTAAAACTATCCATAGTTACCAGGACAGGTATTGCTTTCTATTAGCATGAACATTTATTTCCAATTTTTTTTTTTTACTAGAATCAAGATTCGAATAAGCATTGCCAAGTCTCCATAATACCTTCCCCTCATTGTAAGACAGTGCATAAAATCAAAATGAAATTAATTTTATCTCAGCTCCACTACAAAGTTGGCTAATTTACATATGAATTTCTAAACATGCCAAGACAAAAAAATATCAATCATTTGAGAACAAAGAGTCTATGGCTGAGTTAGTGAAAGACTTCCTAAGTGTCTGCGTGATGGGAAAAAGGGAATAACAAATTGATTTCAGCAAAAGCAAATTTTGACACGTACACAAAACTCGGCTGCATCTCGCAGCAGTGCAATAAATCACTGCCACCACTGCACTTACCATATATACACACCAATAATCACAAGAAAATAAAGCAAGTTGACAAGGAATCGTGACTGGTTAGGGTCTCCAAAGAGGCTGCCGGGTGGCAGTGCCATCTCACTCCCCAACTAAACTGAATGACAGTTGTTTGTTCAATACAATCAGTGTCTTTTCTTTTGTTTATGCTGTCATCTGAGAAAAATGACATATTATCCAAAAAGAACTACACAGTGCTCTCCATATAATTAAAACTTAATTGGGAGGATAATAATTTAGCTCCTCATCTAAGTATTTGAAAATCATTCTGCAGTCTCAATAGTTTGCAATTATACTTACACCTGATCCTTTTTCTCATACCTGGTGACATATCTCATGAACAATGACCATGGTGACATCCAGTAAATAAGAAATAGATGAAACACTGGGATCCAGCAGTATTCTTTGTTCCACAAAAATACTTAGTCCCCAGTTCTCCATAGCAGCGTACGGGTGCTTAGGCACAGCTAAAAGATCTAGAAATAGAATAAAACAGTTCCAAAGGCTTTAACAAACATACTGGATTCTAAACTCATATCCTAAAAAAGTCCAGAAATCCTAATGAAAAGGAATATTTGCTCTTTCTCAGTAATTTTTTTTTTCTAAATTAAACTACCTGCCATTTCTACATGACAGTAGAAATATAGGCTATCACTGTAAACGTTGGCCATATCCATTCATCACAGTTCATTTTCAGACCCAGTGCTGGAGGAGGCTGGAAGTATCGGCACCATTATTGATGAGCCCATCCTAATAAGTTTCAGGAAGTCAAGGAAACCAAATGCAGCAGAAATCTACAGAGTCAAAAGGCATCGTTCCTTCCAATGAAAATATATTCAGCTCAACGCAGTGAATACTGTACTCTGAGTCTTACCCCAAATTTTTTTGAGAGGAAACATCTTGGATCCATTTAAAGATGTGACCTGTCATTTTTCTAATTGCTGAGATTCTCCTTTCTTTTTTGAGTTCTGTTTAAAATAAAATATTATGTGCAAATACAGCTTATAGAGGAAACTATTAATAGTGGACGTAGTGGCAAAAGGACTAGTGAGGGAACCCGTAGGCTTTGGTTCTGGTCCTGCTCTGCACCATTAACTAGACCTATGACATCGGTAAATCACTTAATTTCTCGAGACCACAATTCCCTCACCTATAAAATAAGGTTATTAGCCTTCATTATCTCTAAAATCCCTTCCAGCTCCAAAAATCTATGATTAGATGATTCTAAGATATGTGCTTATTTTAATAGGCTGCAGAGGTATTATCAACTTCTGGTTAAGGTGACACAATAAGTTCATGCTTTGATGTACTCCCTCGGCTCCAAACACACAGCAATGATAAATAAAATATTAAACGAAGAACCTAAAAAAATATCTCCAGGCTTAAAAATAAACCTCTTCGTGGATCAAAAATGGTACAGAAATGCAAAGCAGTGATTGCATGAGAAGCCACAGTCCTGCTGGGCTCCGGCCCCAGGGGCAGGCAGTGGCAGCTGGGAATTGGCTCTAGCAGGATCGGCCAGAGCCAAAGGGACCTAAGCCAAGCTGCCTGCATGATGCCAGGGGTTGAGGTAGGGTATGCATGCTCAGAAGGGCTGTAAATAGCTGATGCTCACTGCTTCTTGGGAAAGTTAGCAAGTGGCAGAGTAAAGATTCGAACCCAGGCAGGCTGACTCCAGGGCCTTGCTTTTAACCACAATGATGCAGTATTTGCAGTCTCTGACCCCAAAGTTCCACTTCCCAATAATCTAGAGTAATTCCCTAGGATGCCAATAAAAAAACATGGTTCAAGAATGTTTGCTGCAGTATTGTTTTTAAGAGTGAAAAGGGAAAACTAAATGCCTTTCACCAAGATAGTGGGCAAAGAATTAAAATAATTAATAGAAAGGAATCCTACACAACAACTGAAATGAACGAGCTTACCACTAGATCTTATGCTATATAAATCAACATGGATAACTGAAAAACATAATGTTGAGGGAACAAGTAAGGTGTAAAATGACCCTTGCCATAAACTACTTACAAATAAGCAGAATAAATACCGTATGTTGTAAATGGACACTCTCACATGTACACACATACCCAGACAGACAGTAGTAAAATGCACATACAATCACAAACGTATATGAATGATAAACACCAAAGTCAGAATCATGATTGCTTCAGGAAATAAAGTAGGAAAAGGGAATGAGGAATGGTCTTTTAGGTTCCTGGACCCCATTTCAACCTTGGGTTGGGGAGGATTCCCACACCACCAAGCAATTTTGGACACTAAGATATATGAGAATTTAACTCCATTCTGCCACTGTCTACCCAGAGATAGCATCAGATTCCAGAAGTTAAGGGTATAGTCCTACAAGATTGTCCTTTACCTCCGCTTAAGTTGCCAGTCCCAAGCCCAGGTTGTCACCTGTACTTCTGACTGACTGAGGTTCCCATGACTTCTTAAGTTCTGATTAATTTGCTAGAGAGGTACAGAGAACTCAGAGAAACATTTTTACTTACTAAATTACTGGTTTATAATAAAAGGCTATAACTCAGAAACAACCAGATTGAAGAGATACATAAAGCAAGGTATGAGAAAAGGGTCTGAAGCTTCCATGCCCTCTTAGAGTACACCATTCTCCCCAATTCTCTACCTGATCACTACCAGGAAGTTCTATGTTAATGCTTGGGGTTTTTTACAGAGACATAATTTACATAGACATAATTGACCAAATCATTGGCCTTTGATGATGGACCTCAAACTCCAGCCCTTCTCTTCTCCCAGGAGGAAGTTAATGGGTAGGGCTAAAAGTTCCAACTAGCTAATCATGGGGTTGGCTCCCTGGAGACCAGACTCCATCCTTAGGTTTTAAATGTTACTCATTAACATAACAAAGACTCTAATATTAACAAATGTTAACATAACAAAGACTCTCAACCCTTAGGAAATTCCAAGGGTTTTGGAAACTCTAAACCAAAAACCTTGTAGGAAGACCAAATATATTTGAGAAATGTATGTCAAATATATATGAGAAATGCATATTTGATCATTCAGTTAACCAAATAGTATTTCTTATAAATCACAGTATTGCAGATGTCTACAAAAGGGATTTCCAATCTATTCGTAATATTATTTTTTTAAAGCAAGTGATAGGTGCATGGATATTATTTATAATATTGATTCTTTTCTGTATGCTTTAAATATTTCACAATAAGAAAAAGAATAAAATGGTCAGCAGTCTTATAGTTGATTGTCATTTATTCATCATTTCAATGAACATCTTCTCATCATTTGCCGTGTCCTTAAGTCTAAGTTGTATATTAAAATAAATCAATATGATCCCTGTATCCACTACATTTTAATCCAAGAATGGAGACATGACAGCATAATCTGAGAAACAGAGAATAAAAAGTTCTATGAAAGAGAGAGAAAACAACTAGTTGGAGAGGTTCTTGAAAGAGTTAGTATTTGAGTGGGACATCAAAAGACAAACAGGATTTCAACAGGCAGTCAGAGGTACTCTATGCATTCACTGATGCATAGAACATTAACATCTTCTGCTCAATACAAGAACTGTTCTGTCCTTCAAGCTCCTTGCTGCCTGCTCTAATGGCACTTATATTCATATGTAGGTGTGTGCAGGAAGAGGAGGTCAATTAACAAATAGTAAATGAACAAAAGAAATTTAGTGAACGTTAAGCTCTACAAAGAAAATACAATAGAGTAAGACAGTGATTGACCGATGGGGTTAGTGTAGCATGGTGAAGATCGAACTCTGAAAGTTATCACATTTCACCTGAGGTGTGAATGAAGGTAGAAGCCAGCTATCCAGAGACTTGTAGAACATTTCTTGTGTTTTAAGAAGAAACACAAATGTAAGCATTCTAAGGAGGAAATGAGACGAATATATTGGACAAAGAGAAAGAAGTTCAGTACAGCTGAAGGGTGTAAAGGAGAGGAACAAACTGCAAACATATAACAAATAGATGTTCTTCTACTTAAGATTTTAACTTGAGACCTTCCCTAAATGTGACCAAACTAGGCAACAAAACAGCACTGCATCAGCTCTGCCACCAGCAGTGGCCATAGCAGTAACACTTCTGGTGTCATTTACTTGAAGGAACACATGGATTTATGAATGATCCTTTGGAATAATGCCTGTTGAAAACAGAGGCATTTCTATATGCTGGAGTTCTCCAAGAGTTGAAAGTAGTCGGGTCCCCAAAAGTAAGTGAGCAGATCAGGCCACAGACTGGAATTTGGGTTGGCTTAAATGGTACAGAAAGAAGATTCCAGACATGAGCCAGACGCAGAGTCTAGGATTTATAGTAAAGAGGAAGGTACACTTAGGGGGCAGTCATCAGACAGCAAATGCCTAACTAGTAGTCCATGTGAGTACCGTGAGGGGCCAGTGAAAGGCTGGTGCCAAAGACCCCAGCACTGGTGACCTCAACAGGCAGATGGTTCCCATTGGTTTCCAGAGGTCTGAGGGCACAGAAGTTGGACCTGGTAATGAGACTGTACAACAACCACACAGGAATTCTTGAACAAATGGAGCTAGACTCAGAAAAAGTGATTGGGGACAAAGTAAGACACAGAAGGATCAGGAATAGGAGTCAGCTTCTCAGACACAGAAAGGTTTTATAATATAGGGAATTATAATATAATATATAATTTATATCTATATAAACACTGATACACAAATGTTCCTAAAAGTTTAAATTCCAATAGCTAAAAACTAGAAATAAATGTCTATCCGCAGGTGAATGGATAAAGTGCAGTATATCCACACAACAAAATGCCATTCGGCAATAAAAAGAACTATCAATACATGTAGCAAAGGTGAATCCCAAAATAGTTATGCTGAGTAAAAATGAAGAATAGATATATGTAGCATTGCTCATACATTTATATGAAATTCTAGACAATGGAAAACTAATGTATAGTGTCAAAAAGCAGACCAGCGGTTTCCTGGGAAGAAAATGGGAGGTGTTAAGATTGCAACAGGAAAGTTTTGGAAGTAAAGGATATGCTCATTGGGTTGATGATTTCATGGGTATATACATATCTTAAAACATCAAGCTGTACACTTCAAATATGTGCAGTTTACTGCACGTCAGTAAAACTCAAACTGTTTAAAAGAAAGTACCTTCATGAAATGAAATATTCTTCTGCTTAACTTTGAAGTTGTTAAGATGTATTCACAATGAATTATATTATTTCAATTTTTGCAAAAATAAATTTGTCATGAGGCTATATCCATTAAAATGTGCAACATCCTCTTTAATATGCCTTGAAAACAGAAGAAAATTCAAGTGTTTCAGAATCTAATTTACTTGGAAATTCAAAGAAATTCCAGGATAAAATTATGCATAGTACTCTGTTTCCAATTAATCACTACAGTTTTGAAAACTATAGGCAGATAGCAAATATTCATATAATACTAGTGAATGCAATTACATAAATTAACATAAAGATCTGACTTTCTCTGCTTGCTCTCTTCAATTCTCTATAATTTGCCTTCTACCTTTAACACTGTGTTGCAACAGTTCTTACTAACTAAAATTACAAAATCTCATGGAGACTTCTCAGTTCTTACTTGTTTGATATTGCAGAGAATTATCATAGTGTTGATTAGAATCTGTCATAATTAGATATCCTTGTTTCTCCTCCACTTTTGAGATTAGCCTATGTTCTTGGTGTTGGTTTGTTTTGTCTTTTTATTTTCTGGTCATCCTTGGACTTTTGAAAATCAAAGTTCCTAGGATTTCCATCTGTAAATTTTTTTGTTATTGTGTAATGCATTCTACTAGTTTTCTTTGAGTGTTCTCACCGACTCCAATGTCTTCTGTCACCTCCCACAGGCCCAAAAGCTTTCTTTGAGCTCCAGAGGAAACTAGGAAGCACCTTTGTGGTAGACTGGTATTTGATACCCCGCAGTGTACCATTCCTTCTGGAATAGACCCCTCCCATTAATCTGGCTTAAACCTAAAGATAACCTTGCAACTATCCCTTCTGCTCTCTAAAGGGAAGCTAATCTCCATGAAAATGTCCTATGACCCTGATAATACTATGCTAAGAGGAACACTGAAACTATGTGAAAAGGTCCAAAGAATCACAAACAGGGTCTAATAATACATGCAAATCAAGATACAGTCTCCAGCATTAGTGGCAGTGTTCTGATGTATAGCTTTGTAAATATCTCCACTAATGTACTTTAAATTATTAAATAACCACTAGCAAAAAAAAGTGTTCAATATCAGGCCTCTCCTCTATGCCACAGTCAGATTATGGGCTCACAGATGATCATCAGTTGTCATCTAGAATAAGATGTATTGGTCTTAGCTCTGGGCATATTCAAGCCTTGGCTCTAGTCTAGTATCCTTCACCTCAGATACTTTCTACCACAAGATCAAATTCAAACTCCATGTTCTAAAGTAAAAGGAGTAGAGGAGATACCATGTGAAATATGACCTCTAAATATTTGTCCATTGTCTTGCTCTCTCTTGACATTTTCTCTTTTGCCTAAGCCAGACTCCCTAAAATCTTGGCTCTCCTCAGCAATATTTCTTTACCAGCTGATTTCTGCCTTCCATTGTCCACACCCAAATTTGCCAACTCATTTTTCATTTGCCATCCATTTATTTATCTAAATATTTTAAGAGTCATAGAGAGTCCCTGCTAAAGATCAGAACCCCCAAAGGCCCAGACTTCAAACTTGAGTCCAGAAATGGATAGAAACTTCTGGAAGATAAGAGGTTAAATACCAAAGAAGCTCAATGAGCATCACCTGGGGAGCCAATCCCTCCAGACCTAAGCAGAGGACACAGCTGCTGCCAAGCCAGGACTATGAGCAGAGGATGTGGTTCCTTCCTTACAGAGCAGCACCGATCCCTGGTTGGAGGTGAGATTTTCTGCTCAGAAAATCTAAACTGCCAGACATTAATCCCAGAAGTTTTGGTCTCACAATAGGGAGAAAATCCATAAGACTTTCTCATGGGAGTAACTAATCTTTATTTTCCCTGTACCTGCAGTATATTTCCTTCATTCATCCATTCACAAAGTTTATTGAGTTCTTACTCTGCCTCGGGAGAGGGGTCTAACAGTGATCTGGCTCCCTTGGAGTTCATATTCTAGCTTCAGGGCTAGAGGTGGGGTAGGGAGACAAAAAATACTCAGATAAATAAATAAACAAACATAGGAGATTAGGATTGGCACTATGATGAAAATAGTACAGGAGATGTTAAAGATTAATGGGGTTAAGGGGAGGGATACTTCCTGGTCAGAGTGAGTGATCAAGGAAACCCTCTCTGGGAAGACAACATCTAAGCTGGAACACCAATCCAGTCGAACTTTACCTCCATAAAGGCAGGTCATTTTTTAATTTCATTTGCTGCATTTCTAGAGCCTAGCACAGTGCCTAGAACATGGCTGATGTTCTAGAAGTTGTTGCAAGATAAATGAAAATTTTCCTCATTTTGACAAGTCATGCTGAATAGAGCCTACAACTTGTTTTGCTGGTATTACAAACCAGATACAGAACCATTATCGACATCCATCCAAAAAGAGCATTAAATTCTGTAGTTCTGATGAGCAGCCCTGTGGTTCTCTGCCATGTGAAGTGCTGTGCTGCTCCTTTAAACTCCACCAAGGAGCACTCAGATGCCCTTCTTCCAGGTTCACAGAAGCATTCTAGCTCCGCCCTGGTCCTTCCACCCAAATCCATTTTGCTCTCAAATCCTCAACTTCCGGGCCAGGCAGCTCAGTCAGTTAAGTGCCTCACTCTTGACTGAGGTTCAGGTCATGATCCCAGGGTCATGAGATCTAGCCTCAATTGGGGCTCCATGCTAAGTGTGGATTCTCTCATTCTCTCCCTCTGCCCCTCCCTGTCACACTTACATGCACATTGTCATTCTCTCACCCTCTCTCTCTCTCTCTCACAAAAACAAAAACAAAACAAAAAACACAGAAAACAACTTCTGACCTACCCCCTCCTCCTGTGTCCTGCTTCATGTCACCCTTTAAATTGCACCTCCAATACTGTCTTCCAAGTCTACCTTAGCAGCATCTCAATCCCAGTGCCAAGTTATCTGTTCAGCTCTGCTGTCCAGGCCTTCTTGGTAGAAAGCAGTGAACACAATAGTTAAACATCAGAGCTGTGGAGTCCACATTGTCTGGGATCCAAACCCTCGTTTAATGTTTACTAGCTGTAGGGCTTGGAACAAATTGTTTAATTTCTCCCAGTTTCCATTTTCTCATTGATAAAATAGGGATATTAATGGTAGCTTCCTTGTAGGTTGTTGTGAAGAGTCAATGAGATGGTCCATGTAAAGCACTTAGTCTTAAGTACAGAACATGATAAATCACTAGTGCTGTCACTAGTTGGGATCTTTCCAGTTCATCCCCACTTTGGGGAATTGAATGCATCACAGGATTTAGCTTAGAAGAGGAGGAACCTTTTCTCTGAACAAAGATGAAGAGTGGGGTACTCAGTTACATCAGGCATTTTAATTTCTGAATTGAGGTTTTATGTTATGATGTAAAGCAATATAGGACCTATCTATCTAAGAATGAGTAAACAAAAGAAAACAAACTGCATCATAGGACATTTCTATATTTTCATTCAGAGGTGCTAAATAAGTTTTAAAGGTATAGCAGGTAAAAACAAATGTAATATTTTAATTATGCCGTTACTATAGCACTTGCTTAAGATATATTTATATATGCATTTATGCTTAAGTAAAAAATAAAACTTGCTCTGACCATTACCATATGTGACTAGTAGAAATATAAGTTGCCTTTGATATAGTAACATATGATATATATGATATAGTAACAAGATGAAATTCATAGAAGTCCCCTATTACTGGTATTATAGAATGAGACCAACTTTTTTTCTTCTTTCCAAGAGCACAGTCTGAAGCTTTGTTTGTTTGTTTGTTTCTTTGTTTTTTATTCACGAACTAGTCAGGTTCTGAATGGCTGTTTTTAAGTTCACTTGACAAAGAGGAGGACAAAATGTATCCTTGGATACATTTCCAGCAAATTTAAGAGTGAATCAGCCCTTCAGAGCTGAACACAAAAAGCACTTTCTCCTAATGGACTTTCTCTTTTTTTAGTGTTTATTTATTTACCTATGTTGAGAGAGAGAAAGAGAGTGCATGTGAGGGGAGGAGGGGCAGAGAGAGGGAGAGGCAGAATCCTAAGGAGGCTTTGAGCTGAGCCCCAAATGAGGGTCCATTTCACAGTTGTGAGATCATGACCTAAACAGAAATCAAGAGTTCAACACTCAACCGTCTGAGCCATCCAGGTGCCCCTCTCCTGATGGACTTTCTGTTGAGGCATCTTTCTATCAAAAAAGAGGCTAGTTTCAGCTATACATTTTGGCCTATAGCAGAATTTTCATCATTACCAGTTGTATTCACAAGCCTAGCATTTACATTTTCAAATTCCTAGCATTCTCTCAAAGTAGCATTAGGCCATAATATGCAGTTTTGCTGATCCTCCTGCCACATATTCAGAAGATTTTTTTTTACATTTCTGCAATCACTTTTTCTCGACACTCATGATTACTGTCAATTGCAAAGGAATGCTTTTCATGTGTTGCCTAATTTCCTCTTCCCTTGAAAAAGAATTTCTATGTCAAAGGACTTATCCTATATGCACAAGGAACATTTGTCATTTTCTCACCCATTTAATTTTTAAAATTAGCTCTACTTTAATTTCCATCATCATATGTTGCATCTTCTTTCAAGCACTTTCGAAACTCATGGTCTTTGCTTTAATGGACATGATTAGGCATAAACATCAAACACACGCTGAATGACCCCTATCTTCATCATTTGGTAACAGGCGAAATTGACTGATGCTTGTTATGTAACAAAGCCTTGCTGTTATCTAAGAGAATGTAGGTTGAAAGTAACGGTTTCTCTCTATTAAGGCTTCATTTATGATGCATTTTCATTTATTCCTAAAATACTTATTCATTACCTATTACAGGCCAGACTGATCCGAGCACTGGATATATAAACCTTGAACAATAAAGATACAGTCCCATTAAACCCTCATGAGGCTTAAAAACCAATGGGGGATACAATCAAGTTAAAAAGTATATACATTATAGACATATAGGAAGGAAAGTGCAGAACAGTGCATTTGCTAGAATGAATACCAGGAATAATGGATGCAGCACAGAGCAGAGATTAAGAACATGGGCTCTGAAGCCAGCCAGCCTAGGTTCAAACTCAATTCTGCTACTTAATGAGGCATGTTACTTATCATTTCTGTCCCTCATTTTCTTTACCTGTAAAGTGGAGATGATTATAACTGCAACTATTTCACAGGGTTACTGTGAGGGCTATTGTTGGAACACAATTCTCAAGGGTCTCTCACATTTCTGTATGTCTCATGAACACAGAACTGACTGTTTTTTGTTCCAGACTATCGTTTTAAGAATATCTGTACAGCAAAAAGAAAAAAAAAAGTGTCCTCTCCATAGCAAAGGACAGGCATATATACCATCATTTATAAAATAATCAGGTCCCATAGGCTCAAGGTTCCTCATCTGTAACATAATCCAATGTACATGGAGGTATCACATGCCCCTCGCATTGCTCTTGGGAATTGGGGCTCAGGGAAATGAACACAAAAAATGCTGAATCTCTGTCTACTGCTATAGCTAGAGGAGTAAAGGCTTTTATCTCTAACCCAGGAATTTCATGTCTCTGCAAGCATTCATGAAATAATGTCAGGTGACCTGTCAGATTTGCAGATAGGGTAAGGTAAAATCTCAGACTCCTCACAGTTCTTGACACAGTTCTTGACAATACATGTGAGGTGTTTAGAATAGTACCTAGAAAATGGTTAAGTTCTCAATGGCTGTTAGATATTCTGATAGACAGAAAAATGCCCCTCCAAAGATGTCCATGGTCTCATTCCCAGAACCTGTGAATATATTAGATTCCTTGGCAAAAAGAAACTGAGGTGCAAATAAAATTAACATTGCTAGTTAGCTAGCTTTAAAATGGGAAAGTAACCTAGGTGATCCAGGTGCACCCAGTGTAATAGCAAGGATCCCCAAAAGTGAAAGCAGGAGACACAAGAATTCATGTCAGAGTGATACCATATGAGAAAGTCTCTGGAGGCCATTGCTGGCTTTGAAGACGGAAGGGGGTTATGAGCCAGCGAATGCAAACAGCCTCTACTAATTAGAGAAGGTGAGAAATTTTAGAGATTCCCCACTTCTAAAGCCTTCAGTGAAAGCAGTTTAATCCAATTTCCAACCTACAGAACTGTAAGATGATAAATTTGCATTGTTTTAAGGTACTAAAGATGTGGCAATTTATTACACCATCAAGAAGAAACTAATAGAGTATCACTATCATCATCATCATCACCTTTATCATTATTATATTGATAAATATACTATATTACTATATATAATATACATAATAATTACTATATATTATACTGATAAATATATTATATATATTTACATATATATAAAATAAAAAATCAGGTCATCATTTCATGTTCATGAGTTTGGGCCCTGAGTCAGGCTCTGGGCTGAGCATGGAGCTTGCTTGAGATTCTCTCTCCCTTACCTTCTGCCCCTCTCCTATTTGCTGGAATGCATGCACTTTCTCTCAAGATAAATTTAAAAATTACAAAAAATAATTTGAAAACTTAAAACAGGCAGAGGAAGGGGAAATTAGAGCAGGACACATAAAGGGTATTAACAGGCACTGTAAACCAGAAGAGTATGACATTGTATCATTCCAGCATAGTGAACCACCCAAATGGAGGAAAGAGTAGACACTATCCATGAGTATTTTAGATAAATTTAGGTTAAATTTATAAAGCACAGCTGTTATATATTAATATAATTAAATATTAATTAATTAAATATTAATGCTTAAATAATACTAGCTTACTATTCAATATCTTTCTCAGAAGATTATCAAAATGAACATTTTGTTTGATGTATACAACCTTTTACACAAATATAACACAAAGTCTAATCACACGTGTTAGCACCATCATCTGAAGGGGAAAAAAATATAATACTATATGAAAGGCTCTTGTTAATCAGTTATTTATTGAGGGTTAGTTGCCGGAGTGGGCCCATCCCACAGCGTGCAACTCAGGAGTCTTTCTTGTTTCAAAAGTAAGGTAGCTGGGAGTCATTTCAGAGGTTTGGATAGCTCTTTGACACTCTTTAATTGACAGATTCACATTTCCAGCAGAAAAGAGATAAAAATAGTACTATTTATAAATGAGCATTCTTAACTCTTGAAACTTGGAGTTGTCAGTAAAATGTATTTTCAAATTCACATGCACTTTAACAGCCTGAGTACAAAGTGGTTACCTCTAAAAGAAATTATTTACATAGGTCTGGTAAAGTGGAAACAAAGATTCATTGTGCCTTAAAGCCAGTTCCTCTTAGCATAAACTGTACTAGTAGTACACACAATATTCAATTAAAAAAACAAACATATAATTCAAAGGAACCAATGTTGGATTCTAGCTTAAAACTGTCAAGCTTTAATTTCAAGCAAAATCAAATATTTGTTGAAGCCCCTGAGGAAAAAAAGTCATTGAAGCCCCATAGTTGTTGATTTTTTTATCACTTATTGTAGTATAAAGTATTACCTGATATTAACTGGCATCTAAACAATGGATGCATTTTCAGAGAGCTGATAGTATAAACGGGAAATACCAAAATTC